GATGCTTGACTGACGATAAAGCAACTTAATCTCTGTTCAGACTCTGATTATTTTTAGTAAATAAAATTTACATATTCAGAAACTACATTAAAGTCGCTACAAAGCCTGATAAAAAAATGTAAATTTGATAAAAATTTGATTTATGAAGTAAAAGATTAAAAATGATTTAAATTGACCATGTGAATAGTGGATGAGAACCTTCTAATGGAACGGAAGTAGTACGTATTAGTTAAAGTTCATTTTGATCAGCTAAAAAAACCAAAGATATATGATCAATCTTTAGGAGATGGAGATGTTACTATTTCAAAATTTGAAATAGTATATGTTCCAACCCTTTTATATAATTAAGATATTTTAGATTTGGTGCCTCCGTGCACGTATGCTTATACTTTTGACTACATAACTAAATCGTCTTCAAATAAAATAAATAGTGTATAAGATACTTTTTAACATAAAAAAATAGCACATGGTTAATGATTTATCTATTTCCGAACATGAAAATTATACTGTGCTTCTAGCCTTCTACCCCCATATTTTCATGACAACTATTTTACATTTTAAAACACAAACTTAATTGTTATTCTTTCATAGCTTCTCAATTTATGTAGTAATTAAATATCGACTGTATGTATTTTCAATATAAGGTAGCGTTTTACTATTGGGCAGATTTTAATCAGACGATAAACTACATTTTTTCATGACAATTAATTAATCATATACGTAGTGATATTTATGATATTATCATATGCGGATAATGTGATATTAATGTGATATTAATAATTTACTAGCTAGTCATATTTACATTCGCGCGGTTTCCTAGAATCACATGTGAACATTTGTTTCAAATTAAAGAACAAACAAAACTTTGAATTTGATATATTATACGTAAACACGAGTTCAAAACTCTAAAAAATAATGATACTCTCTCTTTCCCCTATAATTATCTCATTTTTTCGTACTCGTTTGATGGAGCAAGAATGGGCTGATAAGCTTGAATATACATAAAAATCATCAAACATCCCTCAAAGGAGACTTTTTTGGTTGATTTTTATTATCGTCTCAAAAAGTAGCCAAGTGTTACTTTTTGGCTGAAATCTACCATACTATCATTGGCTTATTAAAAGACCTCTGTGTCCCCTCATTTTTCTCGATATTTCTTTAACTCTCCTCCGCTATCTAGCTGCCCTCTTCCATGAAGTCTTCTTTGCCGGTTCGTCCATCTTCTTGCCAGAAGTCTAAAAATAAGTATCACTTCTATTTTTACACATAAAAAAAATATTTGTATCACAGACGATTTGACCAACGTGTACAAAAGAAGTGTTCCATTGTTCGTGACACAAACGATTTAAATTGTCTGTGATACATATAGTTTCTTTGTCTGTGTAAAAATCGGGTTTCTTCATAAAACTCAGTCAAATTGTTTGTGCACTAACAATTTGACCGTTGTGTACAATGTACAATGACATGTATACAAAGCAGGACCGAACCGCAATGAGGTGGACATGAGATATCTGTGCGCCATATTGCCGGGTGTTTGACAAATAAAAGCATGTTTTTTACATTCCATTCCAAAAAGTGTATGTTTTAGAAATTGACTTGCCTCACTCTAAATTAATTATTTTTCTTTTTTGAAGCTTAATAACTTTTTCACTTGTTTTTCATTGTTTAAAAAAAATATATTAAAAATCTTAACCTTTTATAACCTTTCATATGACACCAATATTGTATATATAAAGTTAAAAAAAACTTCTAGGATCTGAAATTTCTTAGGTAGATTTGAGTGATAAAATTGAGATTGAAGTGATAAATTCAAGATCTCACGATTAATGTTTTTACATCTTTCAATTATTCTTTTCAAAAATAGGCTTGAAGTAATAATAAAAAAAACTAAATGACAAATTTACATAATTTACATTGGGAATGTTTGAATTTTTAAATCATAATAATTCGTAAAAAGAATAAAATCGATTATAATAATAATCGTAAGGATTTAATTTACAAATATTGTCGTGAGTGAATAAGTGTAAAAAATCATGTGATCTGAATTTTAGTACTTGGATCTATTTAAGAAAAAACTTGAGTCCAAAAACTCCAACGGTTCAAACTTTAAAAAAAACTTTATATATATGATATTGGTGTCATATGAAAGATAATTAAAAATAATGAGTTTTGATATATTTTTTATAAAAAATGGAAAACAAATGCAAAAGTTATAAAGATTATAAAATTTAAGGGATTTATTTTGTTGAGGGTCCCAGAACATGTTGTCATGTACTCCCAACGTATCGTCCGGTCGGATTGGGGGGCCCTCAGGGATGGGGTGTCATCCTTTGGTAAAACAACAATGAACTTTCCAAACAACAATTACTCCTTCCATTCCGGTGAACTTTGCCAGGTGCAAAGTAGACGAGAAATAAAAATAATACTGTAAAAAATTGTGTGGGTGAGATTTGTGCAGAAGAGAGAAAAATGTGAAGAACTACAAATTAGTTGTTTTGATAGGAAAGTGGCATAGTTTTTTGGGACATCCAAAAAGGAATACTGACAAAGTCCAATGGGACGGAGGGAGTATATTGTAATACTATCATCTGAAACAACTTCTCATTTCAGAATACGATACTTGATTGACGATAGAGTAATTTGATTCTTGCTTACTTTCAGATTATTTTTAATAAATAAAATTTATATATTTAGAAACTACATTAAAATCGTTATAGAGACTGATAAAAAATGTAAATTTGATAAAAAAATTGATATATAAAGCAAAAGATTAAGAGTGATTTAAGTTGATCATGTGAGTAGTGAATGAAAATTTAATTTTGGGACGGAGGGAGTATTAAAATTGAAAATTTTATAATCCAAATTTGTTAGTAAAGTAAAAATGAAAATTAATAATATAACAATATAGAAAATAATGTACCCCTCCACCCTATAGAAATGTTCTCACTTACTTTTTTTTAAACGTCTCACGCTAACATTACAATTATCAACACTAACCTCATTATATCATATAACTATTAAAATTATTTCTCAAAATATACTCAAATTGCCTTCTTTAATTGTTGTCTAAATAATTTTGTTGTTTTGCTATGGAAACCTTTCAACGAGGCAGAGGTAGTAATAGTGTGTGTTTTATCGGAATTTAAATAAAATTGAACTCAAGCACGCCTTTTTAATACTTGATTTGTGCGTGTTATCCTTGCGCAGTGACCATACTAATCTTCTCTGTATCGTTCCAATTTTATCGGATGCTCCCGAAGGGACGCCTTTTTAATACTTATAAAACATAAATGCACATTTTTAATTCTTTTTACTTCAGAATGTTTGATTTTTTACCAAGTGAATACACATAAATTGATGAGAATTTAGGTTTATAATTGGTTGGTTCCGCTTCTTCAAGTCCGATCCATATTATAAATCCATGGAAGTGATAGAACTGTTTTTTCCTACGCGCAGCTCGTAGAATAGAGTGGGAACTCAGAATTAGCCCGTTATTGATGGTGCGGGGCTAACAAAAAATTGAAATAGATTGAGAATGAAACGTAAAAACAGTATCTTGAATACAATTAGTTATTCTGTCTCAATATTTTTAAATGACTTCATTATTGTTATTTTAGTTATCCTTATTCTGATGGCAGTAGGATGAACTATAAACTAGAGATTCTGTTTTAAGAATTTTGCTAGGAGTACCCCAAAATGTACCTCATTTTTATCTCACCCCTAATGTGTGGCTATAAATGGAGCAATTCATTTAAGTGGTGTCCACTTAAATGAATTGCTCCATTTATGGCCACATATTAGGGAATGGGGTAAAAATGAGATACATTTTGGGCACCTTTAACATTTGTGCTGTTTTAAAAACCTAAAAGAGGAGTGCAAATTTATATATAAGCGAGTTTGTGTTCTTAAATGTATGGGATTATTAACAAAATCTCCTTTGAATATAGCTTCTTTGTATTTCAGTATTTCCTTACAACTTTGTTCAATCATTTTAGAACTTTGACCAGTTTCCTTTTGACGCTGGTCTTTTGATCTTATGAATAGAGGTAGACTCCTGGTTTGAGTCACCTAAAGGGAGAAGCAAAACATAATCACATATCCAGAATCAATTTCCAGCCAGGGTCCGGTGTTTAGCCTTGTTAAAAGTGGAATCGGAACAAAGCCGGGCCTATTGTGGAGGAACCATAATAGGGTCTGGTCCGGTTTAAAGACCGGAGTGGCCAGTGGGTCCACCCCTACATGGCTACATGTGAAGGATTAAAATTACCCAAGATCTCACTAAGAATTTTTAGGATAAAAAGGGAGAACTTTGAAGGACCTTTGTTTAATTAAGACCCGTGCAAGTATGTAACCAATGAACATGATCATGCTTGCATAGTTGCATGTTGATTGTTGATGGTCCAAGCATTGTTTGTAATTGCGCAATGCAATTGCACCTCATGGCACGCCTCAGGTCATTCCTATACTATGGCGTAAAAAGCATTGCATATGGCGGTGGGAGTGTGGCGTACGCAATATTGCACTGAGGCGTACACAATATTGCATACGCAATAAAGCGCTCTAAGGCAAAAGCAATAGGAGGTCAGGGTGTAAGGGTATTAGTTGGGCCCACTCGGCCCACTTTTTAATTATTATAAATGATGTTATGTTCCTTATTTCAGACCACTAGTTATTGATTGGATTTTTGAGTCAATCGATCTTTTAAATTTAAATTTTCATATCTTATTTTAAAAAAAAAGGATTTAGAAAGTTTTGATATTCTATGGTACTTTGAAGTTTGAGCATATTACATTGCTACGATTATGGCCTCTTATGGTTTGTTTTAATATAATATTTGACGACTATTGATGAATATGTTTATTTATTATTATGTTTTTATATACGTATGTATGTGTGTATATATATATATATATGTATGTATGTGTGTATGTATAAATTACGCCTCATGCATACGCCTCATTGCGCAATGAGGCTTACGCAATATGCAATATTAAAAAAATGCCACGACTACGCAATACGCAATTTCAAACCTTGGGTCCAAGAGTGTATCCACATGCAAAGATCAAACCCGGTTTTACATTATGATAACAGAACTTTAGTAAAGGAGAGAAGGGAGATTACAGACAATTATGATATCCACTAGTTTGGATTACAACAGAAAAGGAGATAAATTTAACCACAATAGCAGGAGTTATCTTAAGGAGTTATGTCTAGCTCTCTTATGGAGGTTTATGTGACATCATCATTGCCATTCATTTTCAGACTGTAGAATAATGAATGGCAATGATCAAGTAAATGGACTTCAGCAGGTAACTAGACAGGACTCCTTAAGATCTCACGCTAATTATATCACTTGTGCTATACTTAACTCTTTTTTTATGGGAGTCTATGAACGGTAGATAAGACAATTACTTAACGAACAAAAATGCAGTAAGTTCAGCTCTTGCTGTTCTCCAGGTTGTACCACAGCAGAAGCATTAGCTGAGAAGGTTGTAGTGCTTGATTTTAGAAGTTTCCATGTTTGGAGGTTCTTTTGGTTGGAATACCATGGTTGTGCTTCCCCTCGTACGTTGTGATGAAGGCATTAGAATCACCCGGCACTCTCTCTACATATTTCCTCACACTGCACTTTGGGTTGGTGCATCTGTAGTAACTCCTGTCACGACCATCATCGTACAAATACTTGTCAGATAGGGCTGCACATCAGGCAGGTTGGGTCGGGTTTGCTATATTTTTTTGGCCTACCCGATTTGTTCGGGTTGGCTATTATTCAACCCGCGGTGCGCAAAATAAGTTGGTAACCCATGCATGAACGGGTCGGGTATTGAAAAAAAAATCACTTCGGGTTGCATCTTTATGTGGGAGATTAATGTAACCAATTTAAAACTCGATTAACTTGTTTTCAAAACACACAAACAAATACAAATACCCGTATCTTTTATAAGCAAAAACATTAGATAATAGTATTAAAACATCCTTCCGTAAAGGAAGATCATTTAGAAGGAAACATAAATATATAATAATCACCTAGTCAAAATGGTAAATGTTTAATTATAATTCTAGTATCATAAAGTACTAGATAGAGCACATTGGTCTTAAATCGAAATTATCCAAGAAAACATTGTAGCATAATAATAGTAAAATGAACTTAGGCCGGGTCGGGTACTATCGGGTTGGAGATTTTAATTATGCAACCCTACCCATTAGGTGCGGGTTCAATCATATTTAACCCATGAATATTTTTAAAAATCAAATACCCGATTAAATAGGGTCGGGTAGGGTTGGGTCGGGCGGGTTATGCGGGTTCGGGTTATTCTTGTGCAGCCCTATTGTCAGATGCAGGCCCCACCATGGAAGGCAAGCAAACATAATAGCTTTGATTTTATTGTGGAAGAAACCAAACTATTCTCATAAAACTCTTCATACGTATATGACATTATGAAGAGGACTGAAAGATTAATTTCATATTAAATGCCTCTCTGATCTTAGTGTAATTCAGTGTTGGCCCTTAAACAACTCTAATCTATTTATTGGTCAAATTGGGTCAAATATGTCCTAAATATCTTATCCAACCCACTGAGCACTCCTCATACTCACACACAATAAAGAGATATGAGTCATCAGCTTCATGTTTAATTACTCTGGTCGTAGTGTGATTTGGTAATCAGCCCTAAAACGTTGTAAATCAATTTATTGGTCAAAATGGACATTTGACTATTTACTCTCCATTGCCAAAAGAGAGAATCATTTTTACTCAAGATGGCATAGAAAGGTGTAAAACAAGTGCTAATTTAGCTATTCGTAAATTGCTTTTAAGTTTACCTGGGGTATGTGTTTCCTTTAACTACTTTCTGACCATACTTTCGCCAACGGTATCCATCCCCTGTGGTTTCGGAGTCAGGTGTGTTTCCAACAACACTCTGCATCACCAATGCACCATTCACTTGGCTACTACTTTTCCTTGAAGAAAAATATTATTGGTTACCAACAAATGATGCCTGAAGTTAGTATAAAAAAAGGAACATGTAATAGATATTGTATATTTGTAGCATCTGAGTAAATAAAGTATGGTAAAATAGAAAAATAAAAAATGCCAAGGATGCTTCATAAACTCCAATATTAAAGGCTATCTTTGAATCCCAATGATGCTAGGAAAAGGGGGGAAGTGCTACAGAGATTTTTTTTAATGTTTGGATCCACTATAGAAAATGTCATGGAAAGTGAAATGTGATAAATTGTTTTGTTATATTTTTTTTATATATTCTTAGATTGTTTATAATTTACAGAACACTAATAAATAAAAGAGAAGTTGAATGTTTAAAATACATTTATTGAGATTGAACTAATATTTTGTTTTCCTAAACTTTTTCTTTGGCTTCCGAATTTTTCATGAATTTTGTTCTCTAATTTTTTTCTAGCATTTTCCACATTCCAAACAGGCCCTTATGATGTAAAGGGAGACTAAATGGGAGGGACTAGTTGAATCTCAACTATAACAATTGAGGGATTAAATTTATAAAATTCGGAAGACACGTCTTATAGTGCACAATGTCATACTAAGGAACAAAAATTGTAAGAAGTGTTATTTTCCTTATGCCTTATATCTGAAGTAAATAATTACCTTCTTTTTACTTTCTGATCATCACCACCTTCTGCCTCTAATAGTCTTTCACTTCCATCTCCACACACCCCATTAGGACTACAAGAGTTTTCATTAGTAGAAACGGCACTGAAGAATGATGCAATGGAAGGATAGCATGATGCTGGTGTAGAGAGCTTAGAGTTATGTTTATTATTCTCTTCATTTTGAAAGGTAAGTCTCTCACTCCACAAGATGCTGTTGTCGGAGTGCAGTTGTACTCCCTCTCTCACGGTGTTGTACCCTGGAAGGCATGGCTTGAGATGGTTGTGCTCTCCTTTGTACACAATTTGTGCAATCTCATTATCAGCTGATCTTTCCACATTCTTCTTCACCGGACACTTCGGATGAGTGCACTTGTAGTAACTTCTCGGGTACTTGCTTCCCTTAACATGCTTCTGCCCGTATTTCCTCCAATTATATCCGTCGTTTGAAAGACCATCCATACTACTAGTCCGAAGCAATGACCGTTCATCCTCTTCTAATGTTATCCTCGAGTCTTCAACAGATTTCTCCCTTCTTCTATGTTCACATGATCTGAATCTGTTTGACTCCTCTCCTGGTTCTTTTTCCTTGCTACTTGTACAACTTATCTAAAAGGAACGAGAAAACCATACTGGTATTTAATTCAATACCCCCATATTTTACATGTTAAAAACACTCCACTGAACTACCATTGTCTCACAAAAATAAATAGTTGACTAACATTAAATAGTAAAACCATCGGATCTAGTTTCTTCCAAACAAAGCCTAACATCACTTACAAGCTCATGTACAAGACATAAGACTACTCTTCCTATCAGGTTTGGTTTTTTAAAATGCACCCTTAAATTTTAATAAACGGTGAGTTTCAAGATTATGACATTTATCTTCTTTGACACCATGTTAAAGATGTGGGACTGGGACCACATGATCTAAAAGCCAAGGCTCAAAGATCGGTTACAATTCATATTATTTAAATACTACTCTTCAACATTCAGCGTGAAGGCAAGGTTTATTTTTCCGAAACAAAGCCTCACATACCCACAAATTAATTCTAAATAGATGACAGTGAGTTTCAAGGTCAAGGACCATTGCCTACCATGGTAGCATGTTAAATCTGTGGGACCACTTTATCTAAATGCTTAAGCTCGCATATTGGTTCTAATTCATTTTAGTTAAGTATTATTCTTCAAAAAGAAGGGGATCCTTGCCGCACCAGTTACAGTGTTGCTGTGTAACGGGTTCAAGTTTTGGGAGCAGCGGAACAGCCTCATATCAAAATGACAAGGGAAGGCTTACTCCTTATACACCCTTGTGGTGGGACCCTTCCCCGATCTCCTGCCTTGCAGAGACGCCAATGTGCACTAGCTGCCCCCCTTTTTATTATTATTCAAAAAAATATGCCACACTAACCATATTCAAGTTGTGAGGAACACTTGTCTTGGCAAGTAGCTTAGTTGTAGGCTTGTATATGATGGTTTGTTTGTCATCTGATTTCAAAATTTTGGAAGCAGAAGAGAAAACGGAAATCCCTGGCGGCTCAGCCTGAAATAAGCAAAGCACAAGACAGTAAAAATAGCAGTAGGGAGTGTTACCGTATGGTTGGGATACGAAATTGAGTAACTCTTTTAACTTAGATACCTTTCTGATTATACAATGGTTTCCCCCTGACTTTAGTCTAACTGTCTTTGGTCTAATGGCGGGCGTCCAAGAGCATCCTCGATTGGATGATCCATTTATTGCACTCAAAAGAAGCTCAGGGAAAGGTCTATAGGCAGAACAACCCGGCCTTGTCGCAACTGGTTTGACTACAACATTCATGTGTGCCTTTTCTATCTCCATCTTTGACAACATTTGTTCACTGTCTACTCATACATGAGATTCAATTAAATGTCCCTACATAGTAAGTTGCTGTTAAAAAGCACCATTCACTTCAAAAACATTGGCCCAGACTATCCATGTTGAGTTCTAAAATTAAAAAAAAAAACAGAAAACTAATCATAGTACCATTGTACTAATTTACTCCGATGTTATTCTTCATACGAAAAGTCCATCGAGCCCACAAACAAGACCTATTTCAACATTTCATTTCATTTTCATTTACTCCAGTGCCGCAAAGGCTCCAACCGACGGTGGGGTAAGGGGGGTCGGATGTACGCACTCTTACCCCTGTACTAAAGCACATAGAGACTGTTTCCGGATGACCCATAGTGAAAATCGCGTCCAAAAATGCATGGACTGACTGCTGCTTCATAACAGTTTAGTGAGTCATTTTACTTTATTCCATCATAATCTCAAGCCAAAAAATAATGAATCTTTGGCTCCATTGCAAATGATGGAAAATAAACAAGACCTATTTCAACAAAATATGTTATTTTTCATTGAATTTAATGTAAATTTTCTTTAAAAGGGTGTTAATCAAGTTAAATACTCCGTAAGTTGAATGTAATTGAATAAACACAAAAAGGTAAGTAGAACTGGTAATTAATAAAAGTTTTTCCTTTTTAGAGCTGATAATTAATAAAATACGTAGTACTCGTATAAGTTAAAGAAATGAAATGGGAGATTTTCTGGGTGGTGGGAGATAGTTAATAAAGACCATATTTTAACCGCAAAGAGTGAATCTAAATGAGCAAACAAATCTTTTGGGGATATCAACATTGAAATGATAAACAAAAAGTTAAGAATATAAGAATTGCTGAAATTTTATCCAAAAGCAAACCCTAAAAAGGAACCAAAAGCAATCATTTATCAAATACTTTTAAGAAACAATAATGAGTACATCTTTAACCAGTCAAAGCATGCATGTGGATTTGGAAGAAGTAATATGATAATAGACTTACAAGTTACAATAACTCTGCACTTCACTGGGATGTAGAAGTTCAACTTAACCTGCATTAAACCGCAAAATCCAGCAGATAGAATGAGCGGAAGAAGAAGAAGAATAGAAGAACCTAATCAAGAAAAACAAATAAAAGAAGTAATATATGCAGAGTGTTTAAATAAAAAAATTACAAAGATATGGAATGCTCTCCAAAATTATGAGCACAGGAAACCCATAACAAGTGAGCAGGGTAAGACTGATAGTTGGCATCGACATTTTAGAAATAATTTGTTTATATATATATTGGATTTTATGAGTGTTTTATGTGGTATTGTTTTTGGATTTTAGCTTTGAGGCTTACCGAATTGGTAATGAGTGGCATTGAGTGACCTACTCAATTCTTTATTTTTGGCTTTCAGATAAAGCTTGACCACCCATTGCCTTCCCCTTCTATTCACATCATTTTCTCATCCATTTAAGAAGGGCGTTTGTTACGTGAGAGGGACGGCAGGTGGGGGCTAAATATGAAAATAGTAGATGAGTTATGTGAAAAAGGTTGAATACTCGATTTCAAAGCATCATATATATTGTTCCATAGAGCACATGAGGATATAAAGTATTGTATTACTCAGCTAAATACACAAGTTACACCCATACCTATCGTGTACAAGAAGTCTCTCACTTTGAGAAGTTGCTCTTATAGAACCGTCGTCAAATTTCACTCATGTGACCAATTGATCGGTTGGTCATGCGGGATTACAAAAAAAATGAGATTTTTTACTCATTCACCGTTTAGAGAGTCAGATTAAGAAGCTTTTAAATGGACTTTTCAATCCCAGACCAACTCAGTTTTGTTCACCACACTCGCTATAGTCTCGCAACGAAGCAGGTCGATGGACTGTTAGGGAAAGGTGACGTAACAGAGCAGTCCGGGTTTTGAAGGATCTTTGGAACCTGATTTCCGACAGTCGTGTCTATGTAAATCAATTTTGATATCAATTTAAGCCGCTTTGTTCCAAAAAAAACCAGACCAACTCAAGACTTAAACATTTCATATAAGATCATATAAGACTGCGCCAATAGTAAAACACACATCAACTAGATGTCTGCTAGACTAGATTAGGTCATAAAATTTCAGACCAATTAAAAATATTACTCTCTCTGTCTCATTTAAAGGTTCTCATCCACTATTCACATGGTCAACTTAAATCATTCTTAATCTTTTCCTTTATATATCAAATTTTTATGAAATTTACATTTTCTTATCAGACTTTGTAGCGACTTTAATGTAGTTTCTGAATGTGTAAATTTAAATAATCGGAGTGTGAACATGGATCAAGTTGCTTTATCTTCAGTCAAGCATCGTAAACTGAATTGGAAGCCTCTATATGGGACGGAGGGAGTATAACTCTATTTTAATCTTTAACTCTATATAATAAGTTTAATCGATTTCAATTTTCTAAAGTATGTGTGAGGTGTGCTTTGAATGGTGCAGATTGAGTATTCACCTTAATTCTAAGATCTGCTTTCAATCCTTAAATCTATATATTCGCATGTGGTTTTATAAGCGAGTTGACTATGTACACGAATAATTAGGGAGTGCGTACATAAAAGGTGTATATTTTTTGTATACATAAAAGGTGATATTTTTCTTGAGGTCTAATTCTCTTGAACGTAGATTGTGAGAGTATTTGAAAATAACATTTTAGTTAAAAAAAGGTAGTGGTTCCACACTTTGTTTAAATAACAAATACAATAAGGTAAAGTGAACTAGTTTTTTCATTTTTTATTCCTAAAAATGGAAATTCAATCAGTAGATCAAATAAACCGATAAGCATATGAACTGAATTAAATCGAACTAAATTGAACCAAATCATTTCATTTTGGTACTCCAAACTTGAAACCAATCTGGCCGAATCACTCCCAAACTAAACCGGAACCGAAACTAAATCGAAACACCAATGATTTTAGTTTGGTACAATATCTATGAAATCGAATAAATCAAAACTGAACCAAAACTGATAAAAGCTGAACCGTGAATAGAGTTGTCCATCCTAGTCAAAAGAGTGTACTTTAACGGTTCACTTTAGGAAGTCAAAAGCAAAAATATCCTTAATTTGTGTGATATTCAAAGTGACAAAGAGCGATACTCCGTATTTGTCTTTTTTAATACTCCGTATTAAAAATTATCTTACGTTGGTCGTAAAATTCATCAATCCACGCTATTTAAGAGTTGTTTATAAAAAAATATTTAAAATGGGACATTTATTAATTAGACTTTTACAAAAGTGTGTTCATGTTACATATTAGGAGAGCTTATTAGTTTGAGATATGTAACATAAGTTCAAAGCAATTATTAGGTCAACTAAAAATCAATTTCTAACTTCTTAGTAATTTAGTATACTCTTAATTCTTAATGTTAGGAAAATTGGAAATTAACTTTGAGAGTCACTTAAGTTGTACGGAGTAGTAAACTTAATTTAGTCACATATCTTAACTCGACTCATTTCAATTATGTAACTTTAATTATAGAGGGCAGATATATCATCTAACTTTAATTTGATTCATTTCAATTAACCCTAAAACTATGGTTGGACTCAGGCCGGGCCTAGGCCCGGTCAGGCCGACGGTTCTATATAGCTGGACCCGGGACCGGCCCGGGTAGCCACCGGGTCCGATTCAGGTCCGGGACTCAGGTTTGTTTTTTTTTTTTGCTTAGCTACCCATCCCTGACCCCCCCCCTCACCCCCACCCCCCAAACCCCTCCTAAACATCAAGCCCAACCCGGTGGAGCCCAAACAAATGAAAAAAACCAAAAAATAAATAAATTTGGCCCGAACCGGAAACCCACCGGGTCGGGCCTACCCGGACCAGTCACTGACCGGGCCACCGGTTCAGGCCGGGCCGGAACAGTACCGGTCCCGGGCCGGTTCCGGGTCGGGCCACCCGGCCCGAGTCCAACCATACCTAAAACTCATTTCAAATAGAAAAGACATAGGGAGTAATTCAACCAGCTTGGAATGCAGTGAACCTAAAGAAAAAAGAGAAATGATGTGTAGAGTTCTTCAATTTCAAACTTCAAAGAAATCCTTTAAACATCGGGTAATGCTAAATTATGACGCCAAATCTAATGATCTTTATTTAACAAATGTGAGACCAAGCCACCAACATTTAAAATAATAATCCTTCATTTCGAACTTCTACATAAAATTACATTTATAAGTAACCTTACTAAAACCAGCTTTTGATAAGTGTAGAACTCTAGTGAGTCTAGTCTAGTTGAAATGCATAACAATACAAGCCAATCCAAACACAACTTGAATATAATGTTTTCACCGTTACGATGTTAATATTAAAACAAACAGCATTTGGTTCTATCAAGTACAGAGTATATTGTAACTTTGAAAGCAATAGACAAAAAGAATAAGCTTAGTCAACTACAGTAAAGTCTGGAACATATTTTTATAGACCTACCAAAGTGAAAATGGTACAAATTAACCAACTGATGCTATCTAAGGTGTACCATAACTCTTTCGATGGAACAAAAAAGCAATTATAGAAATTCAACTATTTTGGCCAAAACAATACTTCGGCTCAGAAACTTCATGTTTAATTTTATTTTATTTATCAACTCAATCATTAAATAAATAACAGGCAAAAATGTTACTCCCCAAAACATACAGCAACCATGCAAGGCATCAGGCATGCAATGTGTTGAAATCTAAGCTGCAGCGGAGAGTTTTTCCTCATGTTCATCGAGGTTAAGAACTTCCAGCAATTTTGGCCAAGATTCTGGTATCCCTCCTGGCAAATCAAATTCCAGCAGCTTCCCTTGGCTGCGATAGAACTCTTCCACTGGAAGACTCTGCAAAATGTCAAAAGGCTTATTAAAGACCATCATGACAACCAGACAATGACAATGAAATCATGACTACATTTGGGGGTGAGGGGCAGATGAGGTTTTCTGATAAAAAAGGGATTGTCCTTTCATGCTCTGATTTAAATTTCAAGCGTGGGTCCCGTCAGTGTACTAGCACCATATGGTGTCACCTACGATCCCGTCTCCAGGTGTGGGAAAACTGTCCTTTCTGCAGAAAGAATGGGAACTAGAGATGGTGGTTGGGGAGATTACTCAGATATAGAGCACGTTTTGTAAGGGTAAATTTAGTTGCAAATTAGAAAAGGATGGAGTGGTTGAATGTGACGAAATTGTATCTCATATGGCAGGAATTAAAATAAAACTTCTTAATAAATATAAAAGAAACTAATACAAAGTATCTAAGATGAAGGAAGAAGCAAAAAATGTGATAGATTCTTTTTCATTCAACAAAGCAATAACCTACAAAGCAAGATCTGAGAGCAAGAAATGTACTTGAACTACTTCTCTTCATTATCAACTGAACAACTATTTAGAAGGAAATATCTTAAAGCATAAATGAAATTAAAGAGTCATTGCATAAGGATGAAGGAAATGTAACAAGACCAGTGTTGTTAATCCCGGATAGCGGAGCGTAGCGGCCACCCCTGAAAACGCTATAGCGGTATAGCGGATAGCGGGATGACTGCTATTTAGACAATATATATGCAAAGTACATATCATATGTGTGTGCACAATTACATGTTGTGCACATATGGATTCCAAGAAATGATAAACCACAAATGTATTACTCAAACGCCATGAATTTACACTTAAGTTTACCAATAGAGGCTATAGTGTTTTAAACAAAAGAAACAAATAACTTAAGTACCTTAACTCTTAAAATTAAAAATTAAGTTCCAGATAATTCTTGATAAATTCTCAGTCATTAATATCAAATTATAACGAAATGACGATTGCTGGGATGCCTTGAACTACCTTAACATGGAGATGCATGCAACAAGTTATGTTTGATATTGGTTTCGGTTTTGAGTTATTTTAGTAGGGTTATTTTGTCCCCCACGTGTTTTGGATGGTGTATAGAGGTCATTATTCACTCCAAAAACATCTAAAAGTAAAAAGTACTCCCAAATTCCCTCAAAAAAAGGACTAGAGTAGCCCTGTAAATTATAGCGGCGCTATAGCGCCCGCTACAACCGCTATTCTTCCCGTTATAGCGCCCGCTAAAGCCGCTATTGCCGACGGCTCCGCTATAGGCAGTTTCATGGCGCCTAGCCCCTGCTCCGCCCCGCTATTCCGCTATAGCCCGCTATTGACATCACTGAACAAGACCAACTCCATCTTCTTCTCAAGTTTGTAAGAGGAAGGGTATAATTGTATAAAAGACTAAACTCACTTTGTATGATTGCATTGAGAGACATTCATTTTTATCACTACCAGATACAGAGTAGTATTTAA